TAGCAGTAAGATAGTAATGACCAGATTATATAGTTTGGGTTCCTGCCAGCTTTATCCTCACAGCTTGTCTTGTGTATGTGCCTGTCCTATCTTTCCACTCTTTTGGTTGTGCTTTAAAATACCTCTGTGAGCACTGGGCACCACAAACTGTGTTACGCAGGTAATAACAAGTGATGAGTAATACACAGTAGCAACTGAGGCTGTGAGTTTCACAACTGATGCTAATTTCTGAGTTGTCAAGCCTTCCCAAGTCTGTTTGCTTGGTGACTGAAGGCATGTTCTCAGCAACTCGGTAAAATTTGTGGTGTCCATCTTGAGAAAGGGCTTTGTAGGAAAGAACCATTTGAATTTGACCTTGGTGGTTATCATGGATATCTGGTCAGCAGAGAATGAAATAGCCTCCTTGGGTTTTAGATCCTTTCACCCCTTTGAGATAGTTAAATGTAAAATGTAAATGTCACTGAGGTTTGTAAGGGTCCCTGAAGGTCTTTGGGATGACCGAGCAGTAGGTGTGTCAGAGGTCCATTATAATACCAGGAAATGTTGCTACCTAGTCCTAAAAGACTACACTACAAATAAGGAAAGAGTAATTAATTAGAAAATTATGTATTTAAATTAGACACTATATTTGAAAGTAACATTATAGAGTGGTTTGGAAGTAGAAAAATTTGCAAAAGGGAGGCATAGAAATTTGAACCTGGGAGGACTGGATGTATCCTTTTATTCTGTAAATAAATTGATTGTTATTATTATATTGTTATAATTCTGGTCACGAGCATTGCTGGACATCTCTGATGGTTTATTGGGCTGAGAAGTTTGAGGAAGGCAAGGTTCTCTGGGGTGCAGTCCTCCTCTTAGTGTAGCCTGAGAAGTCAGAGGAGCGGGTGCCTGCTGCAGTTCTGCCTGTGGGAGTAGGGGCTGCTACTTTTGTGTCCCAGCTATAACAGCTCTGGTCTGGCTTAGCAGAAGCAAATGTTTGAAGTGAACAGGGTTCTTCCTTGAAATAGCAAAATGGTGTGACTTGCAGTATTCTGTTACATTTTTTTAAGTGGTTTTGTTACACAAAATCTTGTTGCAGCCCACCTTTCCAGCATTACTGATTCAGCAGCTCTGCAGGCAAGCAGGGCTCTAGGTTACACTGAGGACCCAGCTCAGTGCAGCAGCCACAGGCACTGCACGCTGGGGCAAAGTGTTGTTAATGGTTCCCAACGCTTATTTTAACAGTAGGTTTGGCTAACACGGGACAGCCTGAGAACAAGCCCTCGTTAGCCCTCAGCAGCAGGACAAGGCCCGGCACCAGACGCAGGGGGAAGCTGGGGCGCCCCGCCATTGACGTCAATGGCAGTGGGGCCCGCTGGCCCGCAGGTAGCCGTGGGAAAGGCATCCCCGAGCAGGGCTGCCTGTGCCCTGGCCCCTGGCAGCCTGGGCAGGGTGCCCAGCGGTGCCTGGCCTGCACCCCGTGATGGTGGAGGGGGAATTAGGCTTTGAGGGCTGTGAGGGTGCTGGCTGCTGGAGGTTCGGCATTGCGTCTGATTGTAAAAGCAGGCTGTTTTTTTGTTGAACAGCAGCTCTGAGAGCATGAGTCAAAGACCTGATTTGAAACTGCAGCCAAGCGTAGGACTGTGCTTGGAGACTTTTTGTTCCTCCACTGAAGTGATTGGGTTTGCTTGGGCCAGAAGTGTGCCCCGGGCTTGGCGCTGAGTTTCAGGGATCAGTCACAATGGAGAGTGCAGCCAGAAGGTGTTTAATTCACTTAGTTGAGACTACCTGAACCTCTCATTTAAATTACTGTGAGAAGCAACAGACAGGAGCATCCCTGTCTTGCTCCCCACGGTAAAGCAAGTTCCCAAATACTAAAACGTAAAGCCATTAGCATTCCCTCCATGCCCTCTTGGGGCCGAACCTGCACAGCCGCCTGCCTGCACACTGAGGGAGGTGAGAGACATTAAAGAAGGAAATTGCCAGGTGAAGGGGGAGTGTTGGCCGGGCTCGGCGAGGGGCTGCGCCCGGCCTCTCTGCAGAGCCGCCCCACACTCCCTCATCCGTCTCTCCCCCCCGCAGCTCCTGGACCTCTTCATGGTGTGGGACTGGTCCACCTACCTGGCTGACTACGGGCAGGCCACCTCCAAGTATCTGCGGGTCAACCCCAGCACGGCCCTCACGCTCCTGGAGAAGTAAGTGCGGGGGCCGGGGCCGGAGCTGCCGGCGCTGGGATGCAAAGCGGCGCCGGAGCCGGAGCCGCCCTGCCGGGAGCGGCGGGGCCGGGGCCGCGGGAGCAGCCAGCGGCTGCCTGAATTGCCGCTCTAGGGAAGGGAGACGCTGAGCTTTGGCCGTAGTGAAGCCGGTGCGAGGTTTCGGCCGGCCTGGCGGGCGGGCAGGGAGGGCAGGGTGAGCAGGGCACGTTACCGGCAGCCCGGTACCAACCTGCTTGTAAAAACCGCATCAAAGCGCGCTGCGGTTTAAATGCGCTTTCTAACAGTGTTTTCTCTCCTCTCCTGTCCGCGATGAAAATGTCTTTTGCAGAGTTCACAGAGGGTACGTATCGTCTATATTGTTACAAAATATTGTTTCTCTAACTTCCTTAATTTCCGGGATTTCGTTGTTGTATCTGTTGGTACGGGAAATCAGCAATATATATGCCCGTTTCTGACGGTGAACAAAACTCACCCATTCGCCGAGTCTGAATTTACCGTAGAAGCAGATGATACTAACAGGTTTTCTGACTTGCTTCCCTCCTAAGGCAATTGGTACGATCGGGGTCCTGCTGAAGGGGTATTTGCTTAATACTTACAGGTTATTTGTGAAGTAGTATTTGATAAAACGAATTCTGCATTGCAGAGGTTTAATTTAAGAACACATAGTGAACAGGTTTTGTAATCTTCCAGTTCTTATTAGTGGAAAGATCAAAAGAGGAACACTAGTAAACCAATCAAAATAGTTGATTTTTCCTTTTCAATTTGTGTTTCTAATGTGTTTGTCATTTACTTTTTTATTTCTCTAGAATGAAAGACTCCAGCAAAAAGAACAACATTTTTGCTCAGTTCAGGAAGAATGACCGTGACAAGCAGAAGCTAATAGAGACTGTAGTAAAGCAACTTAGGAGTTTAGTGAATGGTATGTCCCAGCACACATAGGCCTCTTAAATCGACAGTATCTCATCACACCGAGGTGTTTCTTAGCCACTATTTCTACTAAGCAAATGGTGATACCAGTTAGGACTTTTGTTTGACAGAGAAAAAGAAAAATGCAGTAGATGGATTGTACATGTAGTCTTCAACAAGCAATTCTTTGTACGTATTTTTAATGGATCGAATACTATTTTGTATATTGTAAACAAATGGTGAAAAATGAGGTTGTACAATAAAAACCAGCGCAATTGTATTGTACATGGAACAGCTGAACTGTAAATATGTTATTTAAATAGCTGCAGATATGGTGTCCAAAATTTTGCTCGGATTAGGAATTATTTGAGAAATGATCCCTTAGTTGCTGTTTTCTGGTTGAATCCTAATTTAATGTTTTTAAGCATTGAGATACTTGTGTTTCAGATGCCGCCTGTTGTTTTCCTGCATTAAATGTATATTAGCCTTAAAGTGATTGGACATAATTTTGTATACCAGGTTTTGTAGGCTGGAGGTATGAAAAAGTCTTCTGATTTTTAGTACCTTTGAAAACTACCTGAGAACTAGATATCTATTTACCATTAGGACTTAGGCTTTGTTCTCCAAAAGGGTTTAATCTCGAAGTTGTAATGTAAATAACCATTTGAGTTCTTTATAGTGTGACACGTTGTTGTTTCGTTTGGTTTTGTTCCTCAGGGTTACTATTTCTAACTGTACTTTCGTAAGATCTCGGGTTCTTTATCCCAGGTTGCAGTAAGGAATAGGTTTGCCGCTGTTGGTTTTGTGCCGCATCTGTTTGTTAGTTTGCGCTTTCTCCTGCCAGCCCCATCCCAGCGATTAGCATTTTGTCCCACTACCAGTCTTTGCACTGTCCCCTCCTGGCTGTTTTAGACACTAAGAGAATGTCTAACAAATACAAACCAAATGGAACGTGTAAAAATAATGTACATTTTCGCTGTATTTTTAAGTTATTGACGGTCTAAATACAGTAATATAAACCTCACCCGTATTCCTGTTTAATTTCACACACCGGAGCACGCCTCGGAGCCGGTTTTGCGGGACCTGTGCAGGTCCCCACTCATGGGTGATTTACCCCCGGGGAAGGCGGCCGGGGATCCGCGCGGCCCCGACGGCGGGGTGCGGGCCGGGAGCACTGCAGGCCCTCCCCGACTGCCGCTGCAGGCCGGGAAGCCGGGGGCAGTGAGGCTTGCCGGGCAGGGCTGGGACGCTCCCTGGTCGGGGAAGCCCGGTACGGGACTCGCTACCTGGGCAGGCTGGCCCGAGGGGGCGCCGGGAGCTCCCGGCGGGGCGGAGAGGGTGCCCCGCTCCCAGGGGCGGCCGTCCCGCCTCCGGCTGGGGCGCCCCGAGGGGTGGGCGGGGGCGGGAGGGGGCGCCGGGCCCTCAGCCCCGGGGGCTGCCCGGCCGCCGCCCCGAGCCCCTCGGCCGCTGTCCCCGGCCCTCCCGCGCCAATCACCGCACTTGGCCGCGCTGTTTAAATATGCAGCGGATACGTCATCTCCGAAGGTGGATCGGGCGTAAGTGGCCAATATCTATATAAATGTGGCCGAGGGGCGAACCGGCAGCAGGAGGCGAGCGGGGCCGGGCGGGCAGCAGCCGGCAGGGCCCGTCGCGCAGCGCCCGTCGCGCAGCGCCCGTAGCCGAGTCGGGGGGCGCCGGCCCCCCGTGCCTGACAGCCGCCTCCGCCCGCCCCGTCCCCGCCGCCGGAGGAGGATGCCGGCTGGGCTCTCCTGGCCCGAGGCGGCGGCGCTGGTGCTGCTGGCCCTGGCGCTGCTGGTCACCTTGTGCCGGCACCTGTGGGCGCTGCGCTGGAGCCTCAGCCGGGACCGCGCCAGCGCCCTGCCCCTGCCCAAGGGCTCCATGGGCTGGCCCTTCTTCGGGGAGACTCTGCACTGGCTGCTCCAGGTAAGGCGCCGGGAGACGGAACGGGTCGGGGTGGGAAAGGGCTGGCGGGAGCCACGGGCTGACCCACAGCTCGTCCCCAGGGCTCCCGCTTCCACAGCTCTCGGCGGGAGAAGTACGGAAACGTCTTCAAGACCCACCTCCTGGGCCGGCCCGTGGTGCGGGTGACGGGTGCTGAGAACATCCGCAAGATCCTGCTGGGTGAGCACACGCTGGTCAGCACACAGTGGCCCCAAAGCACCCAGATCATCCTGGGCTCCCATACTCTGCTCAGCTCCACTGGCGACCTGCACCGCCAGCGCCGCAAGGTGAGCCTCACAGCCACCCGACAGGTCACACAGCCCAGGCGGCACCTCCGGCCCAGACCTGGGCCTCGGTGGCATGCGTGCTCCCCCTACTTTAACTACCTACCTCTCTTCCCCCCTTCTCCTCCTAGATCCTGGCCAGAGTCTTCAGCCGTGCCGCCCTTGAGAGCTACCTGCCGCGGATCCAGAAGGTTGTGAGCTGGGAGCTGCGGGGCTGGTGCATGGAGCCAGGCTCTATTGCAGTTTATTCCTCCGCTAAAACCTTAACTTTCCGCATTGCAGCTCGGATTCTGCTGGGGCTCCGCCTGGACGAAAAGCAGTTCAAGGATCTGGCCAAAACTTTTGAACAGCTGGTGGAGAACCTCTTCTCCCTGCCCCTCAACCTACCCTTCAGTGGGCTGCGCAAGGTACTGCTGCCTGGACTACTCCTTCTGCCCTGGCGGCACAGACCCCCTGTCCCTAGGCCCATCAAGGGACATTTCTGATGGGCCAGGACATCTGCAACATCCCATTCTAGGTCTGAGGGCTTGGTATCTTATCTACCCCAGCCATTTCCCCTTCTTTCTGCAGTTCTCACCTGTTCCTGCCTGGCTTCCAACACCTCTGGACACTGGCTCCAGCTCATCGTACAGCACAGGGCTCCTCTCTCATCCCATATGTTGCCTCTGGGGAGTTCATCATGTCTGACCCTGTCCCATCTTACCCCATCTGAACTCATGTCAGCCCATGGCCGAGGGGTGTGTGGGCATAAGCACAAAGACAGGTGGGCACAGCACACCTCACTTTAGCACCTCCTCTTGCAACTCAGGCAGGCTGAGGACTTTAAGACCCTCTTATGGTCCTTGGTCCCTTGTGGTCCGACAGCCTAGAGACAGCTCAGGGAGAGAGCCTCTTTCAACCTGCAGTTTCTTCCCTGCTGTTCTGCCCCTCTTTGCCTGCCTCTCCACACTCCTGCTCTAGGTATAGATCCTGTATACCATTCTTCATCTCACATTCCTCCCTCCTCTGGCTTTGTGTGCTCCACCCTTACCACAGCTGAAGTCTTCTGTTCACTTTAGCCTGGTCTTCCCTCATCTCTTATTTCCACTGTGAGCTCTGCCCTGTTGGATCACCTTACCCAGACAGTCCAAGTTTTCCCCCAGCCTCTCTGCTACTCTTCATCAAAGTTCTTATTTTCCCTGTCCAGTTTGTCTTTGCAGGTTGTTACCAGTATGAGCTTTCATCCCTCCTTCCCTATCCTTCCCTACCCTCTTTCAGGTCAGCCAAAGCCTGCCTGGTCCCAGATCAATATCTTTATCTTGCCTTTCGGTCTTCTTGTCTTTCTCCTCACTCTCTGCCCAGTTTATTTTGTCCAGTCCATCCCACCTCAAATTTAAGCCTTTGTATCTTCTTCCCAACATCTGGTCATGGCCATTTTTAATTTCAAACTTCTGGTCCTTCTGGCTTTTGCAGGAGACATTTTCATAGAGAGTTGTACACTCTGTGACCCCATCCATCCCACTTTGCAAAGACATTGTTGGTCACTTGACTTGCTGAAATCTTACATGAAAGTTTTGGTGCACTGGAGTGCAACACACCTGAAAATGAGCTGACTGTGATTAATCTGTCTTTATCCACTATATACTTGTAAAACCATTCATGCCTTGCTGTCTGGACTCAGTTTTATTGTTACCTTTTCTTGTCCCTTGGGATAAGCTTCTTTTGGACCTGACCCAACTATAGGTTTGCTCAGAGCAGATGCTGCTGACTTTGGTAGCATGGGTTTACTGCTGTCTTTTCCTCCCACATAGTTTATTGGGATTTTGTTGCATTTGATTCACAACAGCAAGGCAACAGAATGTGCAGCATCTTCCCCCAAAACTGCTGCCTCTTGCAAGGCTCTGGGGCTGGGCAGCAGATTAAACAATTCTTGCTGTTACAGGTCCTGGGATTAAGGATTGCTACACTTGGGTACCCTTGGTCTCTCTAGAGAGGGGGGCAGTTCCCAAGGTTCTCCTGAACTGTGTGTGCCTCTCGCAGGGAATCAAAGCACGGGACATGCTACATAAGTTTATGGAGAAGGCTATACAGGAAAAACTGCAGAGAAACAACCCAGAAGACCACAGTGATGCTCTGGATTTCATAATGAATGGTGCCAAGGAGCATGGGAAAGAACTCACCATGCAGGAGCTAAAGGTAAGGAGAACCTCTGCCTTGCAGTGCCACTCGTGACTCAGTGTCTGTTTGAGATGGGCTGAAGGCCAGGAGAAGGCTTGTGTGGGGACCACCACCAGCTGCTGGCTCCTGTGCCCCTCTTACCAGCAGTGAGGACACCAGCTCCTGTGCAAGTGAGGGAGCTTGCACTTGGCACACTCTAAAGCTCTTGTAGTTTTGTGTCGCTTTGCATTAAAAGGGACCTTTTTAAAAGGGAATGGATGTCCCTTCTACCTTTCCTCTTCATGGCCACCAGCCTTCAGCCTGATGTAGGATGCTGGTAGGGTTATGTGGCTGTGTTAAGGCTCTGCACATCTGTGCACTCAGTAACCTCCAGGACACTCTCTTGGAAATATTTAGAGCTATTTGTGTGCTTCTCAAACACAGCCCAGCGCCCAGCCTAGGGCAGGGTGTTGATCCCATCACTGGACTCCTCAGGGCTGTGAGCCCAGGAATTTCTGAGGTGATAAATCAGAATGGGTCCAGGAATGGAACAACTGATTCCAGGTCAATCACTATCACCTCCTCATTCATCGGATCATGTAGCCTGTGGATTGCTATGATGAAATATGATACATGACTGTGACACAGAGATGAACCCAGTAGTCTTTACTAAGCCAAAACCACCAAGTGAATGTGAAGAGTATTTTGCCAAAGATCTTGGGGAAAAAAAATTGTCATTAGTACTGCATCCTTCATAGTTCCAGGTCACTTGCTATCAGTGAATGATAGATAAGATTGCATTTATATAACAAGTTTTGAAGCAGTTTTGCATGGGTACAGCAGCTGGATGTGGTTTTAAAGTATTTGGATATAGTTTAAAGGTAGTTTTACTATTTATAAAAGTATTTCAGGATAACTGTGGTAAATATCCAAAGACTAATATTTTATAATATTTTGTAAAAATGCAATCTCTAAATCTAAAATATTTGAAAAACTTTGAGCAACTATTAGATAGAATTAGAACTAGCATATATTCCTAAATAAATTTTATTGTAATTATTTATTACATTATTTATTCTAATGTTTTATTATAATGTAATTTTTTAAAAATTTACATATTCAAAATATGATTGATTAAGATTAATTAATCTCTGTTAATAGTCACATGAATATTAAGCAAGAATAATTTCACAATCTCTCATCATGTCCCTGGCTCTGACCACAAATGGAATGAGGAGATATTAAATGTAACATGGACTGAGTAACATGGCAGTGACCTTGGGCCAGCTGATTCAAATTTTAATACATTCATATGTTGTTCTGCACCATTAGGGTTGGAAATTTTCTGTATTTAACAAAATTACTTGCAAACTGAACTGCCTATGCTTGCAATTATGGCAGTATTCTCCATCCTAATGAAACAGTAGTAGAGGTCTCATTTAATGAAACAGTGTAATTGGATAAAAAGTCCAAAGCTGTCTCAGAGTTGTGGATATATGTCTTTGAGAGACCCTCCAGACACTGGCACAAACTAGTCACTAATTTGCTTTTTGTTCAAATGATCTGGAAAGACAGTCTTCCCAGAAATTTTCCAAAATACACTGTGATTTGTCCTGCTGCCATGAACTCACCAGGGCCCTTGAAATGTAAAGCTCATTAAAAAGATACTGCTTTGCCAACAATACTGTTTTAAAATATTTTAAACCTTGGGAAGATTATAAAAAACCCCATCCTGCATAATAATGCTGTCACTGGCTGGGTGTAATGCTGCTTGTTCTGCCTCCCAGGACAGGGACAGTACTGCTGAAGAAGCTTGGGAATATCCTGCCTTTTAGTCACTGGTTCTGTTGGCCTCATAGAAGCAGGGAGGGAAAGTTGTGACAGCAGCTGTGACACAACTTCTGCAGCAGCACTGTCAGAGGTTGATGCAAAGAACATAAGGGCTGTTATTTCAAACCTAAGAGCTTGCCCTAAATTCCTTGCGTGCTATTGAAATGTCTTGGGGTTTAATTGCATGTGGTGGAACTGAGAGGTTTCTTTTCATCTGGATCTGCTACCTTGTGAATGTAAAAATTCCTGCTAATGCCTGCAGGAGGTGTGATAGGGATTGACAGGGATCTGTTGTTCCAGGAGTTTTATTTCAGCTGAAAGATACCCTTGAGGGCTGCACTTTGGCCAAAGCATCTAGTCCAGCCAATATATGGCACTAGGGATGTTAGCAAAAAGTCATCTTTGTTATATTATCCTTAACTTTACCAGACTTGAATCCAAGTACCTTCAGTCTTCAAGTGTTCTTATTTGTGTTTGTGGCTTCATCTCTCTGGAACCAGTTGTGTCAGAACCATTTAAAGTCCAGACACAGTCACGTGAAAGGAAACTGCTCTGTGTCCCTGGGGGATTTTGCTCCTCTTTGCCCCTGGGCTGAAGCAATTAGTGCTCTGTAATACCAGTCAGTTCCAGGCCTCCCAGGGGAACTTCTACCTTCAGCTTCTCCTTGCCTTTTGTCTCTGGCCTCAGCAATCCCAGCCCTGTGCTATGGAGCCACTGGCACCTTCAGATGGTGCTGTAGGTTTGAGGGTTATGTTTGCTGTCAGAGATGTGTCATGCCATGGACCACCTCTGGGCAACCCTTAACTTTAGGAAAACCGTTTGCAGAAGTTGATCAGAGGGTGCTGCCAAAAGACCCCAGCAACCTGGCATGTGCTGTTCCATATAGACTCTGCAGACACAAAGGCTGGGAGGCTGCAAGGGGCCCCTGACCTTGGACAAGGCACATATTACAGATTTGACTGTGCTGTGGTCCATGTATCTGAGCTGGTTAACTTCCTAATTTGTTATGGATACATCTGCTGTGGAGCTAATGGGAACTCTGCTGTGCTTCAGACTGTACAGCTTGAAAAGCAAGCAAGTCCATTGCCTGGTGTGTGCTCCCTGCTGGCTACAGCACTTCCCAGGCTGACCCGCTCTAGCACAGAGGCCTTTATGCTTTTGCCTCTTGCCTTGAGTACCCTCCCAGATCAGATCAGTCATAACTGGAGATGGATGAAATGCAACCCATTTTAGCTGCCAGCACATTAAGTATTTGTGCATAAACCACCGCCCATATTCACTGCCTGGGCAGAAAAGTAAAAGCTGGGTACAAAGGCGAACTGACAGATGAAGATAAAAAGCATAATACTTGAAATGGACTTCACTCCATGTGCTATAATGCATGCTAAAGTGCTGCCTTAAAATTGGTAAATCTTGTGAAGAAAGCTCAGAAGAGCTAGATTGGAGGTAATGTGTACTCATCCCAGCTGTGGCTCTGCATCAGTCACTTTGCAAGTGGATGTACAGTTCATACAGAAATGCTTTGGTCCCTTCCAACCCAAGATGGGTGCAGGTTTGGGGGTCAGAGTGGGGGCCAAGGCCTTCTGCACAGGGGCAAAACCTGCAAAAGATGAGAGCAGTCTGAGACACAAGCACTTCAAAATGTTATTCAAACTTGGCATTTTCATTCCTCTCCCAGGAATCAGCAATTGAGCTCATATTTGCTGCCTTTTTCACCACGGCTAGTGCTAGCACGTCTCTGATCCTCCTGCTATTGAAGCATCCCTCAGTGATTGAAAAAATAAGGCAGGAGCTGATATCCCATGAGTTGTACCAGCAGAGTCAGTGCTGCCCTGCAGGACCCTGCCTGGACACCCTGACCATCCAGACCAGGGATAGAGAGAAACCACTTTCCCAGTCTGTGGCCAAAGACGTTCTCAAGGACCAGGGCCAGCCCCTGGCCCCACTGGAGGAAGATTCCCTCCAGTCCAGTGCCCTGCTGGAGCCCACTGTTCCCCGGAGCAACTCCTGCACTGGTCCCCAGCTCCCAGCACCACCAAGGCAAAGCTGTCACTGTGCCTCAGACATCAGCCTGGAGAAGCTGAGCCGCCTGCGCTACCTGGACTGTGTGATTAAGGAGGTGCTGCGGGTGCTGCCCCCGGTCTCTGGAGGCTACAGGACGGCACTGCAGACTTTTGAGCTCAATGTAAGTACCTCATACTGTGGCAGGCTGCTAAACAGCTGCTGCCTGCTGTTGTGTGCAAGCACCCTGTGTCCAGCACAATGGTGGTGCTTGGTGGTGTAGCTCAAGGGGAAGTGTTACCCAGCAACTTCCCAGTTGGGCTGGGGAGAAATGGAACTGCAGAGCAGGTGGGCAGTGCAGTGGGGCTGTCCCCAGGCACCCTCTGCTCACCCTCCAGTAGCACAGGTATGTAACAGTCCTCTCCTCCCTCTTCTTTCCCTTTCCCAGGGTTACCAGATCCCCAAAGGCTGGAGTGTCATGTACAGCATCCGTGACACACATGAGACAGCTGCTGTCTACCAGAGCCCCCCCAGCAGCTTTGACCCAGACCGCTTTGGTGCTGGCCGGCCGGAGGCTGCAGGCCGGTTCCACTACATCCCCTTCGGTGGAGGGGCACGGAGCTGCATTGGAAAGGAGCTGGCACAGACCATCCTCAAGCTGCTGGCCATTGAGCTGGTCAGCACGGCCCGCTGGGAGCTGGCCACCCCTGGCTATCCCACTATGCAGACCGTGCCCATCGTGCACCCTGTCGATGATGGGCTGCAGCTCTACTTCCACCCCTTGCAGCCCAGCCAAGGCCATGAGGCCTGAGCCAGGGATGCCCTGCTCCCCTCAGCCCTGAAACCAATGCCCCTCCACAGCTGCCAGGAGCAGGTCTCTGCTGCCCCAGGCTGGCTATGCTACTGGATCACTGCTGAACAAAACCTTAAAGGTCTTTCTATTTTTCCTCTCCTGGTGTACAGGCTGGTAGAGTGTGCAGGGTGCTGCAGCAGGGTATCCCACTCCCGAGCACTGGGGCAAAACCTGCTGAAGCTGCTGACAGGGTGCATATGCCGTGGGGGCTCAGTCAGCCCCTGCCCCATTTGGCCCCCCAGCTACCAGGGATGGGGAGCAAAACTCCCAAACCCATAGCTAAGACTCCCAGGGTTATCTCCTGTAGGTGTGTTATAGGAGAGGCAGGACAAACATCCTGCACACTGTAGCTTTTTAGATGATAAAAGAGAGAAGGTGGGGGGCTCTGCAGGAAAACACAAGCCAGAGTTGCCCAATACACGGCATCAGCTCTAGCTAGAATAATAGGGTGTAAAGTGGTTTTTATAGTAAATATTTAATCTCATTCATGCACTTCCCATTACAGCTGGCACGAAGAGGATATCTCTCATTTACCCACTAGCAGTAGCTGTGTATGTTGTGCTTGAGCACTGTGCTGCTGCTTGGGGTCTGTAATGAAGCCCCCTCTGAGGTCCCCCCCAGGATATTCTCCCCAGCCACAGCCTGCCCATGGGATTGGACTGAAGCAAGGGAGGGGGCTCTGGGGAGCAAATGTTTGGAAAACAGGCATTTCTGAATACATCTGATTTGTGGTAGAAAGTCCCTTGTTCTGATGATGCTGTTCACATTGCAGAGGGGACATTTGCAAGGTGACACAGGCCCTGTGATAGCTGGCTGGCCAGCCATACTGACTGTCACCTCATCAGCCCAGCTCTGCCAGGGAAAGTATCAGGACAGCAGCTCCATGCATCCATACAGGCGGTGGTACCTGAGGCTAAAAGTGGGTGCTGAGGGCACTCTTTTAGATGGCTTTTGAGTACCTCCACAGGGTATTTCTTTCCCATGTAAAATAAAATTGAGTCCTGTTGTTTGTGTACTGAGAACAGAGCCGTGGTCCTTGATCCATGATGACATGTTTACACATTTCTTTCAGCTTCACTTCTACTCCCCACTGTCACACATTCAGTGTGAATGCAGTGGGAAAACAAACATCCTTGTCCCTCCAGAGCATCCCATGCCTGGTAGTGTCATGTGCTCTGTGCGAAGAACCAGCTTGACCTGTGAGGGCCAAAACATGGCATGAAGACAGTGTCCCTTTGGAAAGGCTCTGGGGAGCTCTCCAGTCTCCTAAAACTCTTATCATCATCCTGCTTCAGTGCTAGAGATGGCCTTGCCCTGGCCAATCCCCCTTGCCTGTCTGTGCTGGGGCACTGCAGCAAGGCATGTGCTATCCTTAACTGTTGGGCTGTGCAGTGACCACGCACCACGCTACCTCGGGCAGAAACCTGGCTCCCAAATGTGACAGGTCAAATCTGGAAGAGGTTGAACTGCAGGGCTGAGTTAAGTGCTATTGGCAAGTCGACCCTGTAGTGAACCAGAGCCTTTGGCCCTCCTGACCTTGTCCTGAAAGGTGAATCTTTTTGCCTATCAGAGGTGAAATCAGTAGATGGTGGCTGCAAGTGGCAATGACTAACTTTAATTAGCAGGAGCTACTGGCTGACTCAGACTGCAGGAGATTCAGGGTCTCACTGTGGACAGGGCTGGGCCTGCAGTGTCCAGCAACCAGTGCAGGAAGGTCAGGGCTCCTGCAGCAGCACACTTAAAAATTACTCTGAGCACCAACAAGCCCGCTGAAAAATGTAACATGAATCGAGTTAAAAAAAAAGAAAAAAGAAAAAAAAAAGAAAAAAGAAAAAAAAAAGAAACAAAAAGAAATTGATAAACTGATTTTGTTTGCAGATAAACACGAGCATTTACAAATTAAGTGTAATAATTGTTACTTGTAATCAAAGTTTGTTCATATTAGGCTGTTAATTTCTTGACCCCTTTCCAAGATGTTTTTAATTATCCCTTTCACTCTTTACCATTTGATTCTTTTCAAGCCGATGGCTGGGGAATACACAGCTGGGGAGATAATAAAGCCTTCCTGTGGCAATTATCGGTGCTCAGGCCACCGTATCTCGTTATTTTGATAGACAGTGAACTTGGCGCGGTTGCCGGCCGGGTTCACTCAGATGTCACGGTCCGTGTTGTAGGTCACAAGCAGGTCAGAGCCCGGCAAGGGGAGAGCGCCGGGTCAGGGCGCGGCCGCCGCTCCCGGCCAGCGCCGGCCGGGCCCCGCGGAGCCGCCCCAGGCCGGCGGCGAACCCCGAGGGGCTACGGCCCCCGGGGCCGGGGGAGCACCCTTCGGGGGGTTCCCTCCTGGGCAAGGGGCTGCGGAGGCGGGCAGCCCCGCTCCGACACGGCATCGTAACAGGAGGGCGGGTCTCGTGTGATGCGTTGATCGTTAGAAAAATAATAATTAAAAGTAACATCTCCCTCTCCCATACACAGACACACACACAAAACTTCCAGCGTTTATTGAGCTTGTCTGGGAACAAGAAAGCAAAAGTAACAGGGAGGGAAAATATAAAAACCGTAAAAAAGAAAAGAAGTGTATTGGCAGCAGCCGTGGCCGACGAAGAGCTCCGCGGCCCCACAGCCGCGGTCCTCGCCGGGCGCCCCTTCCCCAGCGGCCGGCGGCTCCTGCGCCGGCACTCGGCAGCAGCCCCAGCCCGCGCAGCCCTCCCGCTGCCCCGCTCCTACGCCGCTCCTCCTGCCCGGAGCCGCCGCTCCCATCCGGAGAGCAGCGCCGCTTCCCGCCCGCCAGCGCGGAGCCCCTCTGCCGCGGCTCCAGGCGAGGTGCCCGGCCGTGCCGAGCTCCTCTTCCCGGCCGCGGCAGCCCCGACGGAATGCCGGAGAGCCTCGGGCGAGGGTGGGCAGCGGATCCCGGGGAGAGGAGCCAGGCACGGAAGGTTTGGTGTTTCCTTTCTGCTCTCACCTCCTTTTCCCTCGGTGACCCGCGCTTGAACCTGCATCGGGAGGCTGAGACGGACTGCTGCCGGCGGCTCCTTCCTCCGCGGCCAGCAGAAATATAAGCCGTGCCTTTCAAGGTGAGCTAGGGGACAGCGGAGGCTCCTCCGCCGATGCGCCGGCACAGCTGCGGCTCTGCTCAGGGGGTCTCCGGGCTGCCCCAGCACGGGGAACCGTCCGCTCCGGCCGCCCCACGGTCCCGGCCCGGCATCTCCCGGGTCCGGCCGCTACCTCGCCGTTCCCGGCCGACGGCGGGCGGGCGAAGGAGCTGCCCAGAGCGCACCGCGCCGGGCGGTAGCGCCGCGGGGTAGGTATCTCCGGACAGCCGGGCCACCGGGTACCGGAGCGGGAATTTCTGGGAGCAACCATTGGTCTCTAGCGAGCACCGGTGATAAATCCGAGGACGAGGAGGCGGCGGTGGCCGACCACCGGCTGTCAGCTGTCAGCAGCGTCCCACAGCCCACTCGCTGAGCGCAGCGCAGGGTCAGCGAGCCCGGAGCCGCTGCCGCCACCCCCGACAGCACCTTTCCTTCCCCGGCAGCAGTCTGCGGCGGGTAGGATGCACTACGCAAAGCAAATAGTTAAAGATTTCGGGGGGAGGAGCTAGGCCGCAATCCGCAATTAAAGATGAACTTTGGGTGAACTAATTTATCGGACCAAGGTAGGGGTGGGCAGCAACCTGGGAAGGGTATAAAAGGCGGCCCGCGGCGAGCCCAGCCCGCGCACTCAAGAGCTCCCGGGGGGCCGGGCGGGAGTCGCTCCCTAGTCATGGGCTTCTCCGCCCTAGTCGCCAGCGCCCTGTGCACCTTCCTGCTGCCCTTGCTACTCTTTCTGGCTGCTGTGAAGCTCTGGGACCTGTACTGCGTGAGCAGCCGCGATCCCAGCTGCCCGCTCCCGCTGCCCCCGGGCACCATGGGGCTCCCCTTCTTCGGGGAGACGCTGCAGCTGGTGCTGCAGGTAAGGCGAGGCGAGGGCGCGGGGAGCGGAGAGGAGCCCCTCTGGAGCCAGGGCTCCTCTGGCTGCAGGGGAGGGACATGAGCAACAACTTTGACAGGCTCCCGTGCCCAGGTGGGAAAGAGCTACTCTCCCTGCCTCTTCTTCTTATCCTTTCTACGATTTATCATTTCCCCCCTCTCATCCCCTGTCTAGAGGCGGAAATTCCTGCAGATGAAACGCAGGAAATACGGCTTCATCTATAAGACTCACCTCTTTGGGCGGCCCACGGTACGGGTGATGGGCGCCGAGAACGTGCGGCACATCCTGCTGGGCGAACACCGGCTCGTCTCCGTGCAGTGGCCCGCCTCGGTGCGGACCATCCTGGGCTCGGGCTGCCTCTCCAATCTCCACAACGGGCAGCACAAGCACCGCAAAAAGGTACGGCCCGACGGCGGGCGGGGAGCGGGCGCGGTCGCCCCGGGCGCGGCGGCTGAGCCTGTGTCCCGTTCCTCCTCGTCCCCCCGGGCAGGTGATCATGCGCGCCTTCTCCCGGGACGCCCTGCAGCACTACGTGCCCGTCATCCAGGAGGAGGTGAGCGCCTGCCTGGAGCGGTGGCTGGGCGCCGCCGGGCCCTGCCTGCTCGTGTACCCCGAGGTGAAGCGCCTCATGTTTCGCATTGCCATGAGAATCCTGCTGGGCTTCCAGCCCCGCCAGGCCAGCCCCGACGGCGAGCAGCAGCTGGTCGAGGCCTTCGAGGAGATGATCCGCAACCTCTTTTCCCTGCCCATCGATGTGCCGTTCAGTGGGCTCTATAGGGTAAGGCTCACGGCTGGCCAGGCGGAGAGGGGTGCCCCTGCGGCCAGGGCACGGGGGAATCGTGGGGGAGGGATGGCACTGCAGCCTAAGACCTACACTGTTCTCCCTCCTGCTCGGTCAGGGCTTGCGGGCACGCAACATCATCCATGCCAAGATCGAGGAGAACATCCGTGCCAAGATGGCCCGCAAGGAACCTGAGGGTGGCTACAAGGAT